ATCATCCAAAAGTGTACATGCAGCAAAAGTTTAATGCCGTTGTCTTTCCAAATATTTTTAAGTTTCATAAAACAGGTTTAAAGTGACTAAAATGACCAATGGGATCACAGTGAAGCAAAAACTTGGCGTGCCCGCTTTTTATATAGTATATCTTAACAATTAAATATTAATGCAATCCGGGCACGCCAAGTTTTTGCTTCACTGTGATCCCATTAGTTATTTTAATCACTTTAAGCCTGTTTTATGAAACGTAAAAATATTTGGAAAGACAATGGCATTAAACTTTTGCTGCATGTATTTTTGGATGGTTAAACGGTTTATTAAAAAGAAATTTTTTTGTCTAATCAAATACTTGGCAACTTGTATGATCTCATATTTATTTTTGGACAATTTTTATTTGTTAAAATAATATTTTTGGTTTAGGAAGAATGTAACGTATACGATACTTTTTTATATACTTGGTGTAATCTTTTTCTTTTTTTAAAAAAGTGTTTTGGTAGGTTATTATTATTGCACGCTTTCTGCTTTATTTCGTTATAACTTATGTTTAATTATAAGATAGAACTTTTTAAATCGTATGAAATAACTATAATTTCATCGTTTAATATCGTTTAATATCAATTATGCGATTCGTCATTTCAATACGAATAATTGATAACCGTGCGAGCTAGTAATTTATAATAATGCTAATGTGCAATAACGTTTCGTATAAATTTAATATTTGTCGCGATTGCACTTTGATAAGGAATGTGAAGATATGTGGAGCGTCGCGCATTGCTACCTGCTCGCTCGAACATCGCAAGTTGAATGTGATAGTAGTGATAATACGTGCGACCACGTGTACTGACCGGTGCCGGTCAAAATGTTTAACAGATCTTTAAACGGATCTTTCTGAATAATCTCTGTTTGTATTTTATAATTTGGACTTTTGAGCAGAAAATCGCCTTTTCGGACCAATGCGCGACGCCGTAAAAATGGCCGAAGTAGCTCGTCGGCGACGGTTGGCGAAATTGACTCAGG